GCGACTATTGATGCGCGCTACAGTTGATGCGTACTGGGAACCACGATATCTACTTCTTTGGACTGTGAGATGGCGGTTACTCTCCCCACCGCACGAGATTCAGTGCAAACTGGAGATAACATGACGACGTGGACCCGAGCATGAAGGGGGTGTACGAGCAAGAATTGCTTCTACCTCTCGTTCAATCCGGGCTGGCATATGATGGAAAAGCAATGGACAGTCTGAAGGCATATCATAAGGCTGCCGCAATTCTACTTTGCCCACATGTCCCGAAAATCTGTTGACGATTTGTTGAGGGAAGGTTACAGTTCTGCCAGTAAATATCGTCAGATTTTTAAACCAAAATTAAACTGCCTTATTTAGTCATGCCACAGGAGCCAACAGTTGTCTGTTGTTTACATAATGCCAATTTACATTGATCTTTTATGCTGTGCAGATATATCATATGTGCCTGTACTGGTTTGAGATGGAAAATAAAGTATTGATGTACATTTAATTCATTATTGCCACTGTTATGCATTATTGCACATTTTCATATGTTCTCTTAGATGCTACATTTCTTTTAACACAGTTCACACGATAACTCTCTCCTCAATAAATTAACACTGATATTTATTAATTGTTGGAGAGGAAACTTAAAAAATGGGCTTCAACAAGAAAGATCACACTGTTATCCTAACAGGTATTCAAATTAAATATAAAGCAGCCCACACATATTACCATCACTATGAAATATTTCATAATATAAATTAAAAAATACAATGATGCAGTATTGTTGTGTTTCTGTTTTAATGAACTAACATGGTCTGTCCGGTGTTGGTAAGACAGGGACACGATGCAGATTCTAAACCTCGACGAGTCACTTCTGGACTCAGGTGAGACTCTTTCAGGTTAACTTAGGCCAGCACATGATGGTTAACGATGTTGCCAGTTTCGGTGTGAGGGGAACGGTCTGGGATAAAATCTTAAATGACTTCAGGGTTGAGTCCCACGTGTATGCGGACATGCTACTCGCCTGGTGCGTGTCGTCATCCTCATGGTCAACTGATTGCGTCCTGTAGGTGAAAGCAGGGAGTTTCAAACTGACCCTTCTCTCATCAAGCAAAAGTCTCGAAGGTGAACCCACGGTCACGCCATGACCTTCATCACCTAGCCCTCAGGGTAGTCTAGAAACCCACTGTCCATGGGTGATAAACTTATCGTGCTTCTGCTCAGCATAGGCGTAGATTATAACATGATTACCTCTCAGGGGCCATCTTAGTGACAAGATATTTCCATGTGTTGCTGTGATTTTACTGGCTGAAAGTGTCACTTCCTTAAGTCGTGGTTTTGGCTCTCTTGCATGGCACTTTCGGCACAGTCAATGATGCAGGTGTCGAGGGTCGTTCTCTCGAAACAACAAGGGCATGGTGGCACGAATTGTCTCTCTTGGAAAGCCAGGGTGATCAGGACTTTGATACTTGTTCACCCATCACGTCATAATCCAGTGACAATCACAATGCTGCCATGATGTAGTACACATTGAATGGGGTGGTAGCATATCCCAATATTAGGTTTTAGTTAGCTTCATCAAGTCTGGGTGTCCGTGTCGGTTTTATCAGGATGGTCAACAACAGGGAGGGTAATTGATGGCACTGAAAGCACAACACCTGTCACCAGGTGAAAAATTGACCCAGTCGCACTTCCTTATACAGCCGGGACCTAGCATCATTCAAGACGTCCGCCGGAGTGCTTGTGCTATACAGTAGGACCCATTTCTGCCTCGGCACTGTGGTGCGCCTCTTGTCTATTATTAAACAGACTGTGTGTGAGTCATATGTACTGATCCTCCCATTGGGTCTGGGCATCTGAAAATGTTGGTGGTAGCAGGCTCAGGTCTCACAGCCAGGCTGGACAAGTTTCAAGAGAGCATCTAAAAAGGGAAGAGAAAACATGGATGGAGCTAATTAATGCAGGCATAGCAGTCCAGCCAGGCATTTGGGGCGATCAATAAAGTATCTATGCTATCTATCTATCTACACGCAGCGCGCACACACACACACACATACATAACACACACACAGCACACACAAACACACACACACACACACACACAAGACACACACACCACACACACACCACACACACACACATAATTAATGAAGTAGCCGCTCCTGGGCACTTGTTTGTTCCCAATCTCCAAAACCAATCAAACTGCCTTAGCAAAAATACCGGCTAGCCAATGTTTAGTGCTATGAACAACTATTCATAATTAACAGTATTGTCAGGCTCAGTAGCTAAGTTGCTGAAACTTACCCTCAGCTTCAAGTCTGCCGTTTCTTTATCTGCGTGGCGGAGGCCAGTGGTCCGGCTGGGTGAGTGACGTCTCTTTGTCTGGGGGAGGGCCGATTGCTACCCCAACCACAACGCTGGGAAAGATTATCCTTGCGTTGCTTTTGCGTCACAAAGTGATAGGAACCAAACAAAAACGTTGCTGACGGGTGGTTTCTTTAAATTCAATGCCTCAGCCAGGTCCTTGAATTCCGAGTCGGTTATCAGGCTGCGAAAAAAATGTCCAACAAAATGGAGCGCGATGGACATTGCCCTCTCTCGTAGCTGGTTTGTGGTCGTAGCCTCTCTGATACTAACACTCGTCCAAGGTGGCTTATCTCGAAGTGATTGCAACCCAACTACCCCGCCACACGTAGTTCCACGAACCACTTTTCTCATGTTGTAATTGTTATATCCTCTTGTCTCTCTGCGATATCAGTGCTTTGTCGGCACAAACGGAGCTAGCTAGCCAAAACCAAACCCAGTCCGCCAAAACGAAGTGCATGCCACCATCGAAAGGGAGGAGTTCAGAGGGCTGTAGAGCGGAAACGGCTCAATAACTGCTGTATATATAACTGAACGAGAGAGTAATGTTCAAATGACAGAACAATTTGACCAATCATATCTTCCCTCTAAAATGGCGTGGCGGTGTTTATTTATCGCGGACTTTATGCAAGTTCGCACCGCCGTGTGAAACTTTTCTTGGTTTCCATAGCAACATTAACAACTTTCCTGTCCAAGAGCGTTAACTCGCCTTCAAAAATAAAAGCATGCCAAATTACACTTAAGACATACAACTGCAACGAAAGTAACAAACACAATGCAATATCCTTTTCAATTTCAAAGAACACAAATAGGGTTATTTACAGGTGTTGTTTTCTTTGGTAGAGGGTTGCTTTCATTGATGCGTTTTGCACCCCGGGCCGTTGTTTTGATATTCCGCTGAAGTATACGCTGTGACGTAATAACTCGAGGGAAGGGGTGGGGGTCAGAGGGCCTAGGTATAAAAGTCACGGCTCGCCGCTGCTGTAATTGTCTTTTATCGGTTTTTTTATAGCATGTTACAGCAGATGCTAACACTAGTGGAGGTGATTCAATCGTGTCTGAAAGGGCGTCTCATCGCAGTCTACGGTACATACTGAAAATAAACATTTAGGCATTAATTAATTGCCGGGTAAAGATCAACTAAATATAAGGGAACTAATCCAAAACTATAGATAGATACATTTGCTCAGCTGCTTATATTTAGCAGCAATAGATCACTTTCCTGGTGTAAAGAGTTCACTAATTCAGTCCCTGATGAGTTATAGCGGCTGAAAAGTCCATTTGAAGAAGGGGAACAAATGGTGGACACAAATACGAGATATAAGTAGTGAGTGTGCTCCAAAAAATATCTGAAAAAATGGTTTCTTGATAGTGTTTGGTAAATGATCGCTAGGGTGTTACAGCAGTGGATGCTAGGTGATAACATCATGTCTGAGAGGAAGTCTACAAACAGAAAAGAAACCATGTATGCATTCATTTATTGCGAGGTTAAGAGCAACGATATACACAACTATCAGGGCATTCAGAGAGCGCCATGGCTGTCTCCATAAGTCAAAAAAGATGCATGTACAGTATCTGCCCCTTTGATTTGGATCTGCTCCAGAATGTAATCAGTTCTACTGTACCTTGGTCAATGCTACCATGTTTCATGAGAATCAGGGGCAAACGTTTCCCCGTAATCTTGCTGATGAGAAGACAAATAAACCCAAACAATATCCCTGGGAAAGGCTGAATAGTCAATTCAAAGGAGAGTAAAAAGCAGACAATAACACGAGACATTAGGAGTGAGTTTGCTCAAGTAAATCAATTGCAGTTGCAACATGTTTCATGAGGAACTGGCACATATATTCCCCCTGATCCTGCTGTAAACGACAAATTAACATTAGGAAAAGTCCATTTAACCCTTCTATTGTCTTCGTGTTCCCCCCCCCTTACTTTGGTGTTCGCGGGCAAATTTGACCGGTCCTGTTTTAACTGCTATTACATTAACACAAAAACCATTAATCATCACCACATGTCATTTAACACCCTTTCAAACTATATTGTATCAGACTACTGGTATAAATGAAGAACTGCAGTAAATATCCAAAGAAATAGACATCTGGACATGTATTTGTGTGCCAGGTTTGAATCCATGTGGGGAGAGGGGCATATAAGGGGGGGGAAACACATCTAGAGAGGTGTGTGTCGTGTGTGTGTGTGTGTGTGTGTGTGTGTGTGTGTGTGTGTGTGTGAGATCTTGATCTGGAATGGTTACTAATTCCTTTCTTTATGGCGGTCACCGGGAAACAGCCATGGCTGTTGCAAAGTGGGACTAAATCATCCAAAATGGCAGATGAAAGTGGTGACCAGCAATTCTATATGTTCAAAGGTATCATGAAGCCATATCATGAGCCTTAATGCAATCAAAGTAAAACCAAAAAATTTATGGATTGATGAAAGTAGTAAATTGGTCAGATTTGACCGAAGACAACAGGAGGGTTAAAGATGGCAGGACAATAACACGAGACATTGGAGGGCATCGTGTGCTTCCTAAAGATCCACTTGGGTGTTACAGCTGATGTTTACACCAGTGGATGCTAGTGATTAAATCACATCTTAAAAGGATTTCAGCAGAAAGTGAAAATCTGAAACACTGAAAAGAAACCACACGTGCATGAAGTAATCGTCGTTCAAATGTGACAAGCAACTTTGATTAAAGAAAAGTAGGTGACGAAAAACGAACCCCAAACACGGACACAATTAAAGAATCTAAGATGATACTAGCAGCACCGTGTGTCGTGGGCCATTAGGACTGGGTTGCGGTGCACGCTGCTGTAGACATCCTTTAGGGGTAGATTGGTGACATTCTTCTGCAGAAAAGCAGCGTACTTTGTTCCAGTAGTTGCTGAGGTGGCAGAGACATCTGTGACTGGAATCCTGGTGACTGTTGGCGGGTTTACAACCGTGGTTTCTGCTGCATACATAATTACCTCGAGGAGTTTGATACCTCGCGTCCCCAGTAAACCTGTCCTCAGAGGATGTCTATCTTCCTACTTTGAAACAGTTCCTCAAAACACCAAAGCTAAGCTAGTGCTAGTGCTGGATCATTTCACAGCTCTATTGGCGCGGGGGATGCGACAGTATCATTGAAGCGAGCCTCCTGGCTTTATTAGGAGATTCTGTTACTTTAAAGTTTACAATTGCAACTTTATAGTTGTTGTAAATCACGCAGTTCAGCCCCACCCTTTCCTCTATCAACCTCGTATAATCTCCTCTGGGATTTTGTAGATCCTCTCCAGCTGTGTGGATTATCCACTTTTCTAGATTTGTAACCCTGACTTGCTGCAGCGGATTTATAAGTCCACTGAGGACTGAATTAGGGAATTAGTTGACACCAGGAAAGTGATCAATTGCGGCGAGGAGAGAGAGAACTTGAGCAAATTGATCTGTGAAGCTGACCCGTTGCGCGGCCCGACCAACGCAGGAGGCGAGGCAGAGGCAGAGAATTTAAATAGTAACCCTGTGCAGTGTGTTCGCTTATGAAGGTGTGCAATTTTATATCAGTCGCTATGGTTCTTTATGACAGCAGCCTCAATATCGCCGCCCAGTGAACCACAGTCAGCAGCCACAAGGATCTCATCTCACTCCACCTACCTACCTGCCACTGACAGGGAACACAGAGCCTAAATACACACACACTAATTAACCCAACCAAAGACACAGGTGAGGCTGTGTCTGTGTGTTGATGTGATAGTGAGTTTGCTTTGGTGTTTGGCTGTGGGACGTAGAGCAACACTAGACTCCATGCACACATTGCACTGAGAGACAGACATGGAACAGGGAGTATTGCTTTTCGAATAAATAAATTGACACGATGCCCCCCCCCAGTATACAAAGCCGAAGCCGTCGCGAGGGTCGCGCAGCCGTGTGACGGAAGCCATCCGTCACGGTATGCGGGGCCATAGGCGGTGGGTATCCTATTTTGGCAGATTAGTGCCCTGTATTTATGTGGAGTCTTGTAGCCGCTGAGCAGGTAATTCATGTCAGTAATGAATGGGCTTTTGCTGTATGTGAGAGTGCGGAGACAAACGCGCCTGTTCAGACATCGATCGAATCCCCTCAGCTAGTTGTGTTAATCATCTGCGTGTGACACCTAGAAACACTAAATAAAACAATTAGAGAAAGTCATCCTTGTGAAACTTACTTCTCTAATGCTCGCTGAGTATATAGTCATGTCTTAGTTCTCCTTCTTCTCAAATGTTGACTCTTCAGTTCTCTGATAAAGCTCCTTTAGATCGAGCGAGTATTAATGAGGGAGTTAAAATATAGCTCGCCCATTATAGTTCTTCTTGAATATCTATGGTTTTTGGTGAGGGATTTCATGGCCCATTAGGATTGTGTTTGGTGTTAATGTTTTATGGAACTGAGGTTGAAGGCTTGGGAGGCGATCTCAATTCAAACGTCACTCCTTTTTCTGTCTATGTTTTCTTCTAATAATGTTTAAATATATCGTGCTTGTTAGTTTTGTTTGTTTCCTGTCTTTTAACATCTCGAAACCTTGTTGGGGAAGGACGTGGTCTTTCATCTTAAATATAACTTCATCCTTTGATTTTTCGTACTGAATAGATCCAATCTTTGTCACTGTACTTTAAGTGTAGTAAATCAGCACGAAGCACACGTGTGTGTATTTCAATTCGTGACACATTTCAATATATCTCTATCTGCGTATATATATTGTGGTCATTACCGTGCAAGAACTAGTACATGGAAAAGAGTTCCTTGATCTGTTACGAGATAACAAACAGTCTTTCAGGGTGCAGTAATCAAAGCGTTATTTTGATAGGCTGTAGATTAATGGGTTACTACATCTTCAACACAAGCACCACAGTTGGTGGCTGGGGGTAGGAGAGAACTCAGGGGCATATGTGATTTTTATTAATGTTATCCGGAAGCAAGACCTATGTGATGTATGAGAGAATCTTAGATCTACTTAATTAAATCTAAGTTGTTCGAATTGCAAAGTTGGTGTTTATGATACTATCAGCCAGAATGAATATGTAATTCGTGATAAAAGAAAATAAACTTGCATTTGCGACCAAATAAATCCCTCGATTGGTTCTGGGCTCATGTTTTTATAACGCTGTGCGTAGATGACGTGGGAATGTGGCTTTACTTAGTAGAAATACCGAAAAATTATGGGTTCCAATACTTTTCCGCCACTTCCGATTCACCGGAAAACAGATAGCTTATCCGGCGAGGAAGAGTCGTGTAATGGTCACGTCCTTATTTACTGCCTGGTTTCCCTTTTATAAATATCAAACCGACTCNAGGGTTGGCTGGACCCCCGGCAGAAGAGTGGTCGGCGGGACCCCCAATGGGAACGGTCATGGAGTTGGCAGGACCTCCAGCGGAACCTCCAACGGCACGGACATCCGTGCCGTTGGAGGTTCCGCTGGAGGTCCTGCCAACTCCATGACCGTTCCCATTGGGGGTCCCGCCGACCACTCTTCTGCCGGGGGTCCAGCCAACCCTATGTCCTGTGCCGTTGGAGGCCCTGCCGACTACTCTTCTGCCGGGGGTCCTGCCAACCCTATGTCCTGTTGGAGGTCCTGCCGGGGGTCCTGCCAACCCTATGTCCTGTCCCGTTGGGGGTCCCGCCGACTACTCTTCCGCTGGGGGTCCTGCCAACTCCATGTCCTGTCCCGTTGGGGGTCCAGCCGACTACTCTTCTGCCGGGGGTCCTGCCAACCCCTTGTCCTGTTCCGTTGGAGGCCCCGCCGTCACCTGTCGCGCCGGGGGTCCTGCCAACTCCTGGTCCTCTTCCGTGGGGGATCCTGCCGAAGCCTGTCCCACCGGCTCCGGTTTCTGTTCGGCCGACACCGGGTCCTGCCCGGCCTCCGGAGCTGTCTGGTCTTCGCCCTCGAGCTCGGCCCCCTGAGAGCCGCGGTCTTCGCCCTCGAGCCCGGCCCCCTGAGAGCCCGGCCCCCTGAGAGCCGCGGTCTTCGCCCTCGAGCCCGGCCCCCTGAGAGCCNCCATGTCCTGTCCCGTTGGGGGTCCCGCCGACTACTCTTCTGCCGGGGGTCCTGCCAACCCTATGTCCTGTGCCGTTGGAGGTTCCGCTGGGGGTCCTGCCGAAGGCTCCGGTTCCTGTTCGGCCAACACCGGGTCCTGCCCGGCCTCCGGATCTGGCTGGTCTTCGCCCTCGAGCCCGGCCCCCTGAGAGCCGCGGTCTTCGCCCTCGGGCCCGGCCCCCTGACTCTTCCTGCCGCTGCCTTCTCCCTCATGCTCGGCCCCCTGAGTTCGCCCGCTGTGGCCTTCGCCCCACCACGGACTCTGCCTTGCCCCCGGGCCGTCCACCCGAGTCCCCCACCTTGGACTCTGCATTGCCCCCGGGCCGTCCGCCCGATTCCCCCTTATCGGCTTTTGCCTTGCCCCCGGGCCGTCTGCCCGAGATCCCTTCCGGGTCCTCCGCTGTGCTCCTGGGCTGTCTGCCCAAAATCCCGTCCTCCTGAGCCCCTCCACCCACCCTGGTGGCCTAGTGATGCGAATGAGTTCACCGGTGAGTGTTCTGTTTTTTGTCCAAGTTATTTTCTTTTTATCCTTGGAATAAAGGTTAATCAGAGTTATCTGCATTTGGGTCCTGCTTCTTTCACTCAACCGTAACAGATGGAAAGTGTTTCAACTCCAACAATAAATGGTGGAAATAAACAACAGTTGTTCGCTAAAGTTTTCGCTAAAGTTTGTGTTTTTGTTCTTGTTTTGTTTGTCGACCTGACTCATAATGTAAAGCGTCTTTGGGTCTAGAAAAGCGCTATATAAATCCCATTTATTATTATTATTATTAAAGTGACTCCACTGCAGCATACCCAACAAAGATGGTCTCATCATATACTGAAATGTAGAATGAGCAGTCTGGTGATACACAGACTTAATCATATGGATAAAAGATCAAAGGGAAAAATTGCTGATTGAGAGAGAGGAGGAGAGAATAAGCCAGCGCTAGCTTTTTGCTTCACTTCACTGAGGGGTGAAAAGGACTTAAACAAAAAAACGTGTTTGATAGTAAGTGTGTAGGAGAAGCTTGTAAATGTGCTTGTGGTATTAAAAATGTGCTTAGGATATTGACTCGGAGCTTTTTGACAGTCCACAACCTAATCTGCTATTCATGACAGCTCGGGCTAATAACACTGTGACAGTGACATACTAAACCTACCTACACTGAATGAAGTGTCGCTATGTTTGTATAGCACATTTACGACCAAAGGGCAATTTACACCTCAGCTGTAATCATTAAGCAGAATTTTTTTATTGCATTTGATCCTGTTTACCCATATTACCACATTCACTTCCCCACTGAGGAGATCCATTTGTATTCCCTTAAAATAGCGTCTATGTCTCGGCAGCACGACCACCACATTCTGTTATATAGGTACTTATTTCAAAGTGACTGGAATAGGTACATTGCACTTTGTCAGTATCTCGTTGCCAAGTACTTTCTCGTACACAATAATTTTACAGTATGTAAAACTCTGTCTGCTCGAGAATGCAGTAGTCTTGAGTAAAAAAAGGCAGATTACTAGGTTTTTTTTATAACAAGCATTACTTTTTGCAGAAGATTGGTGCAAGGCTGAGGCAAATCAAATACCCAGCTAAGCAGCTTAGCATGTCCTCCAACACGTGGTGTAGCTCCCAAGGTGAAATGCAGATGTATGTTGGAGCTGTGCTCTACATTGCATGGAGGTCAATGACTAACCTGAGGCTGGGCTCAGACTACTTCCAGTTTCAAGTGATGGTTTAAGGGTATCCTGGTGGTGCCTTCACTGCCTTCATCTGACGTATCTTCACATACTCAGCTACTGGGATTTGTTTTCAACAAGGAAAGAATAAAGTCAAGGGCTCAGTTGTATTACATTTTTGACTTGCCTTCGGCATAGAACAAGGTGTGATATTGCATCAGCTTATATGAAACATTAATAGCTCAGCTTTGCGTGTCTTCAGTAGATAAAAGTGTATATATCTACCGGTAACAAATGTATGTGCCATGATATGAAGGTGAAGTGGTTAGCAGCTAGGTTAATATGGTAGATAGGCAACATAAGATTTTTATTGCAAAGGTCTCAAAGAACAAAACATGGATGATTTCACATTCAGTGCATGGACACACTGCAGAAGGCTCTTTCTTCTGTGAAGAGTATCAATCAATCAATCAATCAATCAATGTTTATTCATATAGCCCAATATCACAAATGTTACATTTGTCTCAGTGGACTTCACAGAACATCAGTATGACAATACGACACCCTCTGTCCTTAGACCCTCACATCGTACAAGGAAAAACTTGTAATACTTTGAACCTTCTTACTGCAGGGCTGTCGCACAATGCTCCTTACAATTAATAATGTAAGGGCAGCCTCTATTTGTATATCATTGAATAGTTTGAAAAGGTGGGTATAATAAATAATAAAATGATACAAAACAAATTGTGTTCTAAGGATAAATAGGGACAAATGTGTTTTTCTATTGAAAATGAAGTCCAGTTTGTCAAATGGCTGCTGTAAGAGCTGAACATGGGCAGGTTGAGCTGGTGGGTCGGATGACTCACTGCTTATTTCTACACAGACATCACAAATGTCATCAATTTCCATTATAACTCTTACAGAGGAGATGATGTAAAAGAGCCAGGTTACTTTAGGTCAAAACATTTCAATTTAGCTGTGTTGGCTAAAAATAAAGATCAAAATAAAGCATTGAAATGAAATTAGATACACGTGAGACTTTGGTAATATATACAAAAATAATTCATTATCTAATTAAGCTGATTTGCTGTGTGAAGCAGTTTCTAATGTTATGTAATCACATTCATATTTTAAATAAATGAACTTACCATTAGAAATGTTTGCTCAGGTGGGATCTTTGCATGTGTCACACAGCAGATGGACTATGATTTGATCAGAGGCAAGGGATCAATCTAAATTAGATCTAGCATCAGAAACATATATATGCAAATTGTACACAAAACAAACCTGTTGTTCAAATTAATTTAGAGACTGAAAATTGGCAAAGATAGAAATATTTTCCCAAATCCAACAGGTGGTAGCTGAACATGTTCTCGTAGAATTGCCAACAGAGACCAAACATATTAATGCATCTACTATTTTGTTTACATTAGAATGGGAAAGTCTTAGATCTTACCTCTATAGCAGGGGTCTGCAACCCGCGGCTCTTTAAGCCCTCTGCTCTGGCTCCCTTGAGTTTGGACAAAAATAAGAAGGAAATAAAATGAAAATATTTGTAGGACTATTTATATTTTGTTGCATGGTTGAAAATGTTTCATATCTTGTATTTTGAGATGATACTGTGACACAAAAAAACGGTTTTAATTAGGTCAAGTAAAATATGCATCATATCCTGCTGGTCCTTTTCTTGCAGGCGAATAACCTGACCCCCGGCTCGATGAGCTAATATGAATATATCAAAGAAAATAAGAGGGTTTAATTCTGCGTGGACAGAGTTATATGCTTTCACAGCAAACGATGCTGGCTTACCGGTATATTTGATATGTGGAGAGGAGTTGTCAAAAGTGCTGCAGCCTTTACGTATTGGAGGAAAAACACGGAAGAGGAAGACAGCTGACGATCTTCAGTCATAATTCAATCAGTTAACAATTTTTAGGGTGCAGTTATGTTTTATTTATTTCAAAGTGGGCCCATTTTAATTGTATTTATTTTCTTCAAATGTCCAAAGGACTCCCCAAGTACTGTGTTTAATGTATTTTAAAGTAGGCCTGTGTATTTATTTTAATTCTCCTTATAGGAGTTATTTGTTTATTATTAGAGGTAAACCGTTTTCTATAATGTAATAAATAATAAATGCACAAAAACTGTAGTTTTTGTCTATCATATAACAATACAGTATATACAACTTTATAAGCTATCAAGCTATCAAACGCGGCTCCAGACAAAAATAATTGGTGGAAAAAGGGGGAAAATGGCTCTTTTGGTCAAAAAGGTTGCAGACCCCTGCTCTATAGGATGTATGTTGCCTCATACTTATACCCTGTGACAGCTTAGAGGGATCATACTTGCAAAATTGCTTTGATTTCATGTTTTTGTGCTAGTTTCCATGCATGCCCAGCAACCCTAATTATACACGGCAATTACTGCCTGGGGGGAGTACACATTTATTCTGCTGTAGCAGCATAAAATGTGAAAAGTGGATCCATTTACCCTGCTCTCCTCATATGGCTTTGGACATAAACACCTGTTTGTGTGCTGTATTTTTTGCCTATTGCTTGGGAAATTGCAATTCAAAGACATTGTTTGGGATTTGAGGCCGTACATTTGCATATTACAATTTAGTGTTGAGATTGTATTTTAACCCATGAGTGATTCACAGTAGAGATAACAATGTAATAAGCATCAATTCCCAGGACCCCATAAGAGCAGGAAACCAAGCTTAAGGAGTGCAAAGGTTGGA